ATTAAAAATTATAAACGTTTAGTTAAAAAAAAAAATACTCTCAACATTGGCACACTCAGAAATTGATAAAAATGAACTATTTTAAAAATGCTTATGTTACTTATGAAAATGCGCTTATCCCACTACCAAAAGGTCATCCTGTATTCAAAGTTAAGTCTGCTCCTTAGATTTTTAAGCTAAGTACAATTCAATTGAATATAATATCAGTAATCCACGTGTAATTGAAAATTACTAGTGAAGAAATATATTTAATCAAAAATATAATGTATTAGATTTAATGGTACGTGGATATATTAAGATAATTACTCTAATTGTTATATTTTTTTTTTTTTTTTTTTTTTTATAACATATAATGTTCTTTTAGTTTTTACTCTTTAGTACATATTAAAAGAAACTATAATGTTTGTGTGTGTGTGTACTGTGTATGTATAAGCAATCCATTGCCAAGTTTATCACGCTCGTGATTCAGTTACTTGGTATATACTATATATAAAGGTAATTCAATACTCGTACATCGTGTATGTGCATCTTGAAGTTAATTTTTTAATTTTTCTTTTCAAAGAGAAGTTCACAAAAATGAATATTATTATTATAATTATAATTATTACTTCTTTTTTTATATATACATATATATGTTGAATTTCAATCGGTTACGAGAAATAAACAAATAATTATAATTGGAGATATAATTTAAACCTATATTTTATTTTTGACCAAACCACTGAATAAATGTGTTAAAACTATACATAGTTTACATTTAAACGGAGTTTAAAACGAGATAAATCCATTGCCATTATTAAATAGATCATATGCAACACTGTACATCATCAGACATCAGTTAGTAGTGAATTAAGATCAGCATGTAGCGAACACGGTTCGTTATATTATACAATTTTATAAGGTGTTACGACATAGGCAATTTTGTCGCTTATAGTGAAATGATGTTTGGTATTTGTGTATGCGAGAGAGAAAATATTATTCATATGGTTAGGCGATAAAAAAAAACAAAACCAATTTTCAAGAGCATAGATATTTATTAAATAAAATTATAACAATTTATTATTTAGATGATTTTGAATTTAGATAGTGTGATAAAATGTAAAAAAAAAATAATCGATTCGGCAACAGGATTTTATTACCAACTTCGCATCAGAGACTATACACTTACTATATTACTAAGTTTTGTTTAGTTATTATTTACCACTGATAACTTTTATAATTAATTTTCGGGATATTTGTATCAACGCAAAAAAAAAATCTTCAAACTATAGAAATCTAAAGTAAAATGATTCACCAATAATAAGTTGTTTAAAAATTACAACTCGAGATCGTCGAATTTTATAATTCGTCCAAAGTCAGATATTTTCGGGCGAATTCTTTCCGTTGTAATATTATAAACGAGTAAATAATTTGTTTAAATATTATATTTTAATATTGTAACTTACACAGAAAACTAATGTTAAATTACTAAATTAAAGGAAGGAGGCATGGAATAGTTGAAAAGTTTAAGTTATGCCAACGATTTTACTTATTTATTTTTTATTTTATTAATTAATAATTTTGTAGTTAACTTAAGGACTTAAATAAATAGTTTAATGGAATTTTAAAATGACATATATTTTTTCAATTAATTTATAAATCATCCATTAAATTAAAATTAAAAATGTTTTTGAAATTTTTGGTTTTATATATTTCTGCATACACGGTTTTAAATAAAAACAATGTAATACTGTAATAACTTCTGTTCAGTTACACGATAAAATAATATTATACAAGTAGATTAAATTATTATAAGTAGTTAAGTAAATATTTATTCCGTATTAACTTTAAACTTGGCGAGCTAAATTTATTATTTTTTACTATTCGATTTCAATTCGACGATCTAGTGTTAACTTATTTTGAATCAATCATTTTCATTAACTCGCTCACTTTTTAATCGTCTACGTCCGATGTGTACATTGTAGGTATTCGTAGGATTCACTCCGACCTAAAATGTTTAGCAACTATGCATCGTATAGATGTGTATTATAGATGGTACTTAACGTGTTGATTTAGACTGAAACGACCGTATTGAAAACGGTTTACGAAACACTGCAAAGTGGGAAGGGTGGGCGGGTGTAGGGGGAGGAAAATAATGTAAATAATTCAAAAAATAATGACATTTGGAAATTGTCTGGACAATCAGCGCGCAATTAGACATGACCCAGTAAACACGAATCTTTGGCTCTTGATTATAGTCTGCTAGCGCCCCGGTAACCGGTGCAAATTTTTCTCGACAATTTTGCAAACGACCCATTGCCCGCGTTAACATAATCAGCAATGCAACAGCTATGTTTAACGAACGGTTTTATGCACAGACGCGTATTACGTGTTGGGGTCACGCACGGCACACGTGTTTTCCTGTCCTAACACGCCGTGTCCGTATAGACAATGCCGGGGCGGGCGTGCCGACGATTAATCGAAAATTTAAATTCGCCGTGTACTCGAGGCGCGTGTAAGTATACTGTATTATATTATTATTATCATTATTGCTGTTATTCTCTGGACATGTGTCCACAAGGAATCCTATAATATTATCGCCTGTGTATCATATCATTATCTTCGACTTGTGATCGTACATGGTGTGCGATCTCCGATTGACTGATATTGTCCTAATAATCGTGTTCTCCGAGAGTACTTATATATATATATAAAATATGTATAATGCAAGTCACTTTAAATAGTGCACGATCGAATGAAGTCGAGTACAATAAATTCTTGTGTAGGAACGGTATTTGGATTTTGACCGAACACCGAATACTGTATTCACGTGATTGGTCAACTAATTTAGACTTAATAGCTTTCTTCACCTACATTATTGTCAAAATAATATAACGATAATAATTAAATAGGTGTCGCATTCAGTCGAAATTATCGGAGTAAATTGCCTTTGCTTCCGATATGTATTTTGCTAAATTCTTGTTTTGTAATAAACCCTAAATAATCCAACCTACATACAATAATGAATGAATAATTGAAGTTTGTAAAACAAACAATTCGTTCAATGATTTGATTTTGGACTAATCGTGAATTAAATCGAATTGTTGAGCAACTGGTTACGCTGTTGTTCTTTTGTTTCTACGCAGATATTTCGAAATTATAACAATCAAAACAGTACAATATATAACGTACAACAAGCTATATATAAATACATACAGGTAACAGGTATACCTATTATGTATACATAATAATATGCATGTAACATATCAAATAACAAGGCAATTTGACTTTTTTTTTTTTTTTTTAACAATTTTTAGTTATTGTTGAAATTAATATCATTTTTAAATTTTTCATCTTGTTTATTAATTAATAAATTTAAAGAACAAAATAAATAAATAAATAAATAATAATAATAAAAAAGTAGTATGAATAAATTTGAATTTCATATAAATATTTTATTACCTAACCTTTTTTATTATCTCCTATAGATATTAAGTAAATAAATACATTGACGTATTAAGACTTTATTTCAACTGATATGCTAATATTGATTTATAAAATTCACATATCATTTTACTTAATAGTAAAAATACTCAAAATGAATTATTTTTAAGTGTATTAAATGCACTAATTACTTAATATTCTTTTAAGTGCCTTTGATTTATTTCTATACATCCAATGTATTTTTTTGTTATCCATCTTTTATTAGTTCAAACGAAAAAATCTCTCTTAGCTATTTCGTTTTGATGAAATCCACCTCTACTTTTACCAATCAGCCAGTTTGTTGTCATCTTAGTAATCAAGTGCATAATAAATATAGATACAGTTGATTCTTTCTTTTTCTCGGGTTTTTTCTTTGTCATGTGTTGTTTTATTTTTCTTCACATTGTCCCTGCACTAGATTTAATACATTTTTTTCATCAGCCATTTTGCTTTTAATTTTCTATAGTCATACACACACCCATACCTTTACATAAATGCATTGTACAGCAGTAGCCATATTACTCAACTTGAGAAATGTATTTTAGCAATGTTTTTAGTATGATATATATATATCATTTATTGAAATTATTTTCAACCATTTTATTAAATTTACATTATAGTTCCTACAGCAATGCGAACGGTATTTGACAATTCGCAATTTAATGTTATTTAGTTAATTGAGTAGAGGTATATGTTAAATACTATTAATAAAAATTTAGCGCGGTATCAGTATATATGTATAATAAGTTTAGCAGATAATGTGAAATAATGGAAACGTAATATCGAGTGGCGAAGTCGCCCAACGAGGGCGCTCATCTTTTAGTGTATATTACGTTTTTAGTTATTACCAAGTAAAGAATATTAGAGGTCTTTATTGAATGTATTAAATATATTAAATCTGTTATGCTACTGATAATAATAATAATTATTATTATTATTTGCGCATAGAATAGTAATGCAGCAATGCGTATAGCAAACACGTACACAACTACAATGAGCAATATAACATGACGTTCGCACATACATTGGTAGATTATACATTTATAGGTACATATATTATAATATTATTGTTATTATTGTTATACTGTTCCGGAAAATCGATTTCATTAATAATAATAATATTATATAGGTACATCTAGTAGGCACACCTAGTAAACAGCGTAACTATATGATATTCCTACATGCATTGTAGACCTACCGACAGCGCACATTTCGATAAAATAAAATATGTATATAATATATTATTACATATTACTGTATTCAGTATATTATAGTAAGTGGAAATCTAGGGTATTTACAACAATGTCAGAAGACGTAACTGGATAATAATACAATATCACATACACACGCACGCGTGTAACTCCCTTCCTATAAATCCTACTGCTAATTTTTTTTTTTTATTATTCTTTCGGTTATTATGTCATGGTTTGGGTCTGGTGGCAGAGAAAAACGGTATTAACAGTGAAAAATGGAGGGAAACTAAGGCGATACATAATTAATGGTCTCGAGCCTGCGTCCGTCATAGACCACGCCACCATCACACCGGGAAATCGTAGTTGTTTATTAGATAAAGTACAGAGCTCTACGTATATTATCATTATCATTATCGTTATTATTATTATTATTATTATTAAACTTATTATTTTTACTAGTAGTAGTATAATATCGTAGTGGTTGATGTTCTTAATATTATAGTCAGTCTCTCCGGGCTGTTCAGTCAACGTCTAGAAAATTTCGAGCAGTGGACCGTTTGCTATTCTAATCGTTGTCATCGTAGACTGAACATTTAAAGATACATTATAATATTAAACTATAGAATAATTTTGAGAAAAAAACATTAATCGATCTACTCGCAAAACATGAACTCCGCACTACCAAATCGGGTAAGTTCCTACACATGCATAACATATAATATAATATTATACCTGATATTATGTACCTACATAACAATAATATAATATAATCTCTTTTGAATATCGACTGCAGATAGCTTGTTATGTTGGATATCGGATGTTTTTCCATGAAAATAATTTCACAGTTAGTGCTTGAAATATATTTACGAACGATTTGTGAAGCGTAGGTAGCTAATATGTGATACATAACAATATAATATTACATATTTTTATGCCTCAATTAGAGGATGAGCTCATGAAAAAATATATCACTTTTTTAAAATGTATGCTTTTAACATCAAATAACAGTTAACTGTTGGTAATATGTATCACGTTTTTCATTATAAATTCAAGCATCTATGGCTAAAAAAATCGAAAATTTGCATTAAAAAAAAATAAATATTTTAGTTTATATAAAATATAGGTAAGTAGTAGTTTTATGTTTAATATACATTGTTTCGATACGTAACAAATGACGTGAATGAAATTGGAGATATTTTACAACTTCTGTTGTTTTAGTGTATTATTACAAAGTAATATCGTATTACATTATAGGTACTGTGCAAATATTTCAGAGTGATTTATTTATAAAATATTTATTTAAATATATATATAAATATACACAATAATATTATTTTATCAGTATATTGTATTATCAAAATCAAATATTTATTTTTTGCAATATAGAAATTTATCCCTGAAAACAATTCTCGATATCTTTAATGAGATTCATTTAGAATTAAACCTTCCAACAAAATTATGTTAATACAATTTTCTAGAATTTTTAATATAAATGTAATTTTTCCAAACAAAATGTGCTTTTTAAATATCTTATAAAATGGGATATTTTAGCTTAGTATAATAACTTATATGGGCCCTACCTATTCTAAAGCCTGAATGATTATAGATTAAAATACAGCAGATGTTATGTGTTGACATGTTGATGTTAAGTTTATTGATGTAGGTAAATTTGAATTTTGAAAAAATATTGATATTTACTATCTAGCACCTAGAGTACAACACATCGTAAATAGAATATTTTTTCATACATTTTTAATTTTTTACGAATTTAATAGACAATTAAAGATACTATTATTAAAATTAAAAAATAAAGTTTTGTATGATTTACAGATAAGTAGTTTCAGAACATAATTCGTTAAGATTAACAATCTACTTTAAGTTCTGTCTTAAAAAAATGTATACATATAGTATAATCATATTAAATCGTTTGAAAATGTAATCTAAATTTATATTTTTTCTCATCACATAATATAATGTCATATAGCGATGCAAGTAAAAATTACACTTTTGTATTATGTTTCTCTCAATTCTATTTTCTCCTTTTACGTAGATTATGTTAACTATACAATGATTGAAGCAATGAATAATATTGTTATTGAAAAATATCTAAAAATAATATCTAAAACTCTCAATTATGTTTTGTTAGAGTGACTTAATTTGTTTTCAGAACTTCTGATACTTTCAGTCCGTTCAAATTTAATAATTTTACTAGATTTAATTTTATTTGTGAAGAAGTTTTGAAATCATAAATAAAATACGTAAAGTAAAAACATTGTTAGTTATTGTAGATTGTAGTTAGTTTTGTACAAACTTCTAGACTGATAGTACTAGGGATGTAAAGTTTTAAACAATATTTCATTAGATAAGGACTTATTATGAATACAAATGTATTATAAAATAAACCAAATCTATTAAAATTAAAAATTTAAGTTTAAGTTGGTATTTTATAAATTATAGAAAATGCAAAATTATACTTCCATCTTTTTAGTTCGATTTTATAATGGTAAACATTTTTACAGTTTAAACAAAAAAAAAACTTTTTTTCTCATAAAATATTTGATGACTAAATCAAAGTTAAACAATTAAATTATTTACTATATCAAAGTGTATTTATTCAAAAATTTATAAATTATTTAACAACTGTTTATTATTTGTTTATTTAAAATAAACTTAAATTAACATAATGTGAGATAACGTATCATAACATTTGGATTCCTTCATCAGAAAGTCAACATTAAAATAAAATTGAAAATTTATTTACAGCTATTTCTTGAGTGTTGTTCACTGTTGAGTGACGTAACATTTGAATAATTAACCTCAACCCAAATAACATAATACTCGAACGAGTTATTTACTTAGAAATAATGCACAGCATAATATCCATACTCTAAAATTTCCATAAATGTATATCTAATGTCTATAGCTATTAAAATTAATAAATATTCACTTTCTTGGGTGATAAAATGAACATTTTTTTTTTTTTGTCCAATAAAATAAAACTATCTATAATGTTGTTTTACCCACAATAAAGTATTTGAAGAAATACTATCATTTTATACATTACCTATATTCTTTTTTGTTACTTACTTATAAATTCTAATAATCGGACAATAATATAAAGGCTATTAATTCTATTAAAGTTTGAAATTATATTAGTATTAGACTTACCTGTAACTTTCAATATTTACCATAACCATGATATATGTATACAGGGAAAAAAAATCAATAAATCGTTTACAATTTATAACTTACAAATGATATTGTGCAATGTATGTATATCAATTTATTATAAATAATGAGTAGTAAAAGACACGAATATTTTGATAAACAGCAATAGCCGTAATAAAATATAATCATTACCAATGTTTGAAAATTATTTTTAATTTTTATAAGCTTAGAATTAGTTTATTTTAGAAATTGGCTGTAGACAAAAAAATTTTACTCATCACTGTTTGTGAAATAAATTATAATATGATATAGATCTGAATAAGTCGCAAACACAAGTATTGTCTGTGTTTCATAAAAAAAAAAAACTGTTTTATTAAATACTGACTAAATTTAGTTTTCTCATTCATGTATTAACATTAAATATTAAAGTAAAGTGTTAAATAGTCGATTACAAATAATATAAATTTAATTTACTTCATTATGATATATTTCAATCCACATTTTATCGACTAAAATAATAGCGTATAAGGATATTTTTATAGCAACCAAATTTATTAAATGTGTTTAAGAAAAAAATATGATACATAATTGGGTTGAAAATTTCGAGTTTTACATTCAATATTTATTTAAATAATAATGTCACGTATTATGGATCTATTGATCAATAAATGAAAATATTTCAATACAAAATATTTTACTACGTGTACTCATTAATATAATTTGTATGCATTATTTTAACGTGTATTCGATAGTCAAAATTATTGAAATTCTTTTCCTCTTGCATATTCAATTATATAAAAATGTTTATATAGCCGTGTTTCGTAAGAAATATTTATTGACACTATAAGATTTTTATAAAAGCTCAGTAAATCAGCCAAAAATCAAATAAAATGTTGTTATAACATTATACACTTGTGATAGACCAGTCATCCAGAGTTACATCAGCTACAAGTTAATCATTTGGAATAAATTCTTGAGAATAAAAAAATGTATTTATTTTTTTGCTAATAAAAAAAAATTATATTATTATTATTAATAATAATAATATTTATAAATATTTATATTATTATTATTATTAATAATAATAAATAATTTTCATTATTTTTTTTTTTCATTATTTAATTTTAATTTTAATTTATTTATTTAATTTTTTTTTTTTATTTAATTGATGTGTCAATGCATTAAATTTTAGCTCATTACAACTATATATTATATTAATTTTTTATTCATGAACTATCGTGTTATTTTTAAAAATTTAAAAAAAATAGATACAGATAAACAGTTGGCATAACAATAATGCATACCTATCACATTACACACTTGTTTTCAAAATACTAAAATTAAGATATGTGTATATATAATTATTAGTTTTCGCGTCATATTTTAAAAACGATTAATGATTAAAACTAAAGTAAAAAAAAAAGAAACGACAAAAATATTCTGATGTACATAAGGTGTATTATGCCAACTTTAGTCCGCAATTACAATAATTATACAAAAAATCTGATTTTAGGCATTCAGAATATTAGTTTTTGCGACATGGGCACATAGACTTGTTTGGTGTCAATATTACGGTGAGCAGATTGGAGACGGCCGTGGTCATAACGAAGAAAGTCATGAAGATTATCACGTAAGTATATCAAAACTGAACTGAATATATTATTAATAGTAGCGGTAGTTGTAGTAACAGCATTATTGTTTGTCATAAAAACTCTAGGTGTGGATAATCGATTTAATACTGAATACATATAATATGAAAATAAAATAAGCTTAAAACATGAATTTGGAAAGGAAAAAAATGCAATGTTAAATTAACCAACCAAAACACAAATCAACTTTAGGTTACGCAATATACGTGTCCACATTATTTTAGATTCAAAATTATGTCTTATAAAAATTTCTTGTTAACACTTTTTCTTTTTTGCATCTGCTGCAACGATGTAGTTTTCATTTTTAAGCATAAATTCAACATTTTCAGTTCAGACATTTCTGTCTACTAATGTTGTTGCATAATTTTATCCTATAGCTAGTGTCGTTCATGACCCATAACCTTGTAAATTAGTTTTAAACTAGGATTTTCGATCTGTTAGCAGACGAAGCCGTTGTACAAGTATGGGTACTGGGTGCACGATCCCAAGACCAAGGATGTCAAGAGCCATTGGGAAAACCGAGACGGGGACAAGGTGCAAGGTTCGTACTCGTTTCTTCAACCGGACGGACACATGAGAATAGTTGAGTACACGGCCGACAAGCACAACGGATTCAACGCTCATGTCAAGTACATGTACGAAGGACACGGAGAGGGTAGCGACGGCGGAGGTGGGGATGGCGGTGGATACGGGGGAGGCGACTTCGACCACAATTTAGATGACGCGTCCGGGAAATACTCAACACATATCGGAGGTAGAAGTGGCGGGGCGAACAGCCGACAGAAGCAACCGTTGCAAAAGTTCTACAAGAAACCGCGGGCGGAAAAGCAAGGCGGCCAACCGGGCCAGTACAAAAGGCCACAACAGTTTGACGGACGTCCTAAATCGGTCGGCGGTTACAAGAAACAGCGGCTGCCCTCGGCCGGGGAACAGTCGGCCGAACACTACGCCGGTGGCAGGTCCAACAATCATTTCGATCAGTTGCCCAGGTTTGGAGCACCCGGAAATCATCACGCCAATTCACTGGGCAGCGGCGTTGGTAGCCCCGAACATTATCACGCGAATCAGCTGGGCGCAGGGGGTGTCAGTTCCGAACGTTATCAGCCGAACCATTTGGGCGGCGCCAGCCCGTTCGGGTATTTGGCTGAAGACCAGGGCGCCGAACATTTTTCCAACAAGTATTCGTCACCGGCGACGGCCGACACGTCCGCTTATCTAGCCGGCATCCAGCAACTTTCGTCCGAACACGACCCGGTGGTGCACCGTCGTCCGGACGTCGCGCCCGCAGCGTCGACGGAACGCCAGCACCACAAAACCATGTCCGGGGAACGACAGCAACAGGTGCCGGGCTCGGAGTTGGAGCCTCCTCGACTGGCACAGGTGAACGGGCTCTCCGAAAGGTCCCGTGACGACGGGAGCGCACCGGTACAGTACGATGACGACGACGACGACCGTTCACGGGAGCGGGACGACGGGGACTATCGGGACGATCACGCGGCCGACTCTGCTGACGAAACTCCGGTGACGGTACAAAAGCAACCATTGCGGGAATTCCTTTTCGAGGAGCCCTATCCGTTCGAAATCCCGGAAAACGTTCAAATCCCCAGCAAATACCAAAAGAGACACTTGACACAGCCGTCGCCAGTAAACTTGCACCGGTACACGCTTGCATCGTCTTACTTTCCCAGCTGGTACCGCGGCAGTAACAACCTGCAGGAACACTACCATTAAGGGGAGTGACTGATTTGGAGTCGAATTCCGTCAGCGCTGGACAACTAGTTCTAGAAGTATTCGTATCATAGTGGCGATTTGTTGTTATTTTTATTGCTGTTAGATTGTTTTAGTTTACTACACTAATATTTCCGTGTCGGGAACTCTGTAAGTACGTATAGGATATAACTGCCTATATAGCATTTTGTTATAGATGCATAGAGGTATAGTCGAATACAATACTGTATCGTTTTCGTCAAATCGATTCGATTACACATTTCATATTCGTAACAGACTGTATTATTTTTGTACTGACGTATTATGTCTTACGATACTAGTTGGTGATTAGTTACAAATTATGATAAACCACAGTTATCATATTTAGATAATAATAAATTTTATTACATGCTTTAAATTATCAAATATTTAAAGCGTTTTTTTTTTTTTTATTCATAAATTCACCTCTATGAAATATTTATTGTGTTATAATTTTTTGCAAATACCTCGTGTTAAAAACATTTTAATTTTTGTTTACTGCCACATATCTATGGCAATGTTTACGTATTTTTAAGCATTTTTTCTTTTAATTAGACATATTGTTCATTTGTACATAGTTTTAAAATCAATTCGATAACAATCACAACAAATACATATTACCATTACTATAGATATAACAAAATAATTATTGGGTGCATTTTTAACTTGGTAATTAGATTATTAACGATACTATTATGTAGGTTTGTTAAGGTGTTATCGTATGTATATTATGTATCATACTATTGTGTTAGTTATTATTCCTACTAAAATATAAAATATATAATATATATTTAGTTCGTTATTTTCATAAATTATAAAATTATTTCAAAAATTATATTTATATATAAAATGATCAGATACTTGAAACTTGAAAACAGATTAACAAAATACTTTCTTTTTTTTAAATATTAATTTTCCTTTTTTAAATTATAATTTATATCTAACATAATATTATTTAAAAACAATGTCGTAATTGTTCTAATATGTTATAAAATTGAATATTCACAATTATTTACTTATAAAATAAGTATACTTGAGACTGTGGATATTATATAGAGTAAATAAATCGGTAGTGTCTATTGTAAAATAAATAAAATAATATCTAAATAATTTTAAAATTTAAAATTTATTAATTGAATTAATACAACTTTATATAAACTGTATAAACGAGAAAAAAATACAATAAAATAATCTTAATTTTTATCAACAAATACCAATTAATTGAAAGAGTTACTCGTTTTGAAATTAAAATCTTAAAACGATATTTGAACATATTATGAACTCTATTTTTAACTTTTTTTTTTTAGATTGTCTGTTGTGAATCATTGATAGCATACATAAATATATATTAATACTTTAGTGGTAGTTTTAAAATTATTATTTAAGTGCCAATGACAATGAATTTATTATAAACTCTTACCTTATTAATCTTGTAAGTAATGAAATTGCTTTGTTGAAGTTTATAAAACAAAAATACGGGTATTTACACGTCAACTTCTTTTTACTGCAAAATATACTCGTATTTGTCAGATGTATTCACGAACGGAGCGTACTAGTAATACTCTAACTTGGAAAAAAGGAAATTATCGTAATTTGTCTGGATGTCTACTGCACTTAAAATGCTGTTTATTTTGTTTCCCCGATGTGCTTTTGTATAGTTCTTGGATTTTATTTACAGATATTATTTGTACTAAATGTGGGTCTGTGTGGTTTACATAATAATGAACAAACTTTAATTGGAAAATAAAATAAGGACTCCGTATTTTAATTAAATTATATTATATAATATGAATCATAACTTACATTAGATACCGACGTATACGATAGCATATCATACAAATTGAAGATAAATAACAAAACTCTTAAGTTTTTTTTATCACACTTTTTGAACGATTTTAGTGTGTTTCAAATAATGACTACCAGTGCAAGTCTTTAAATGCAAACATTTAGCAGATTGTTCAAATTTCTAAAGTAAAAATGAGCGCATATAAAATAGTAGTCAAATATTCACTAACAGTACAATCTACATCTACGCACATCAACGACCGATTTGAATCCCAAATATATGGATAATTTTATGAGTAAAAATGTTACCCAAAATTTTCTCTGCGGTTATAATTTTTTTTTAAATATTCAGTCATTCACGTTGCTAGAAAAATTCAGTATCGCAAAAAAAAATGGTTGTTATATATTATTACACATTTATATATCTCTGGCTATGGTGCAATTCACCGTGAACTTTATATAAGTGCATCTTGGAATTTCGATACTTGCGGATGATTCGTATTCAATGATGTACAACTGAAATTTTCCGTTCAGTGAGTCGTGCAAACAATAAAGATATTATAAATGTATAAGTATTTTTTTTCGCAGTGGAAATCGTGGTTAGTAAATTATAATAATATAATGCTCATTGTAGCGATAAATATAATTTAATATAATTTATTTATAAATATAATACAAACACGCATTGATGACAACATGAAAGTTCAAAATATAATTACGAGAATAGGTGTAATACTAATTGCATTCCTGTTTTTTTTTCTGAGTATATCCTAGTCATGTCTCAAGTTACCCATCTTACTCAACTTGACTAAAATACTGTAAAATATTTATTATAAATACGTAAGAGAAATTTATTATAATAATTATTATACATAATATTAAGACAAAAAAACAAAATAATAATAAATAATGAGTAGAATATGTATGGTTCAGAATAAAAAATGTCTTTTGTTGCATTCTGAGCTTTAAACTTATAAAATAAGTAAATATTTCATAACAGTATATCACATCAGCAACGTTGCGTTAAATAATTATATTAATTAAGATAAACTATAGAAATAAATGCTACTAATGAGGTAAAAAATATCATAGTTTATACTCTGAGATGTTTTGTAGTTTCGTAAAAAAAAAAAAACTGAATTATTAATAAATAAATGCTCAGGTCTTGGTACCGTTAGCCTTGACCGAAAAATGTCTATTGACTCTATAAACGACGAATCGTAATGAGTTATCAATTATTGTTATAGTACTTTTTTATAAAAAGATATTAAAACGTATATTTTATACTTTATAGTTTAGTACATTTATTTACTATAAAAAAAAATATATATAATATAATAAAAAACATAATCAATAAGTTTTCAAACATTATGTGTTTATAATGTACGGAATTTCAGGATTACTAAATTATTACAATTATTAATTTATTTGTTAATATGCTTCTGTAATTTGACTATTGCCCGAGTAAATATTTAATTTCTCAATAAAATGTATCATAACTGATAATGCAAATAGTATGAAAAACGTTTCGGAACGGCCTGAGCATCATTGAAAATATTAATGAAACTATATAGATTCTCTACGCCGTCATGCATGAAAAGTTCGAGATATTATCATTGATACCATAAAATATTATATTTATTATATTTATTTATACAATACAATTATACCTGTATTATTATAAACAATTAAATGTATCAATTTTTTTTTTTTTTTTTAATTACATTTTAATAAGTAAATTAATTCTAATGCTTTCCTCAATAAAAACGTCATAAGTAAGTGATGTATAAATGATTACTTCCAAAAATCATCGGAGACTAGCGAACATAAACACTTCAAATAATTTAAACTTGGAGAAATGTCATCTCTAAATACTTCAAATATACTGGCAGTTGTAGTTACACATGTTTATAGTATTTTTGATATTGTCAAACATTTGTTGGTATAAAATTTAATGATGTTGAAAAATACAATGTCTTAATTATCCTTGAACAGCCGGTAAGACAAAGCATTTCCTTTTACATGCTATGGCAAAAAAATCATTAAAATTCAAATTTATCCGGCTAAAAAACTGGAATTGGCTTACATATTGTAGTATAGAAGACAGCATTTATTGTAAATATTGTGTGTTTTTCTCTTAATGCAGATATAGAAAAGTAATCATTCAAGCTTTGCATGAAAACTTTTAAAAAATAGGAACACGCTGTAGAAACATTTTTTTATCATAAAAAAAACATATACCGTTAAAATAGTGTTATTCATTTTTAATTAATTTCGCATAGTTTTACAAAAAAATAAATAATATTCGGTTTAAGAAAAAAAAAAAAACAATAAAAAGTATAATATTCTTGTAGTTGAATCGATAGTTCATTGTGGCCGTGAAGGTATAATTTTAAGGGGTCATCGAGGTTCTGGACTATTAAATAATGAACTATTAATAAATGAAGGACATTTTTAGTCATTGTTGATATTTGTTATAAAAGCAACTACATCATCTAGTAATAATCTGACTAGAGAACATTTTAGTCAAAATGCCCAATAAATTAATTGGAAGGTCTTAAATAGAAGATATTAAATATTTGCAAAAAAAATAAATAGTAGTTCATTTTTTTCAATAATAGCTGACGAAACAGCTGAAATATCAGGTGTTGAACAGTTTGCTTTATGTGCATGTGCTCGTTATTAGTTAAGTTAATTAATTGATTCTAGTACATACATCAGAATAAAATGTATCTCTAACTATTCTTAACTACATTTTCAATATAGTCATTTACCTTGCAAATACTTACAAAATAAAATATTGATTAAATAGAAGTTGTCAAATATATTAGTTTAGAGAAAAATCGATTACTTTTCAAAAGAAAAAAATTTTACCACTGAATTTAACAAATGATTTATGCACTTTAGTATGAGAATAAATAATTTTAAACTTATAGTAGAAATTCCCAGATTGATCAAGTATTAAAAAAACCGAGCAAATATTGATGCAAAATGTCGAAGAATATTTTAAAATTACTCTATTTACTCTTTTTCTCGATTCATTTATCCAGAAACTGAACGACCGCTTTATTAATCACGAAAATATTATAGCTGGTTTTCAATTTTCAATCAATAGTTCAACATTAAATGAAAAAAAAATTGAAGAATTTGATTCTGCTGATGTTGACAATTTTAATTCAGCAAAGTCAGAAGTGATTTTATGAAATCGCTATTTGGATGATAATAATATAAAATAAAAAGTATAATTGAAATAATTAATTATCCTGTTTTATTTCTAAATATTTTTAAATTATTACATTTTATTAATTACACTTCTTGTTAAATCGATTGAAGCTGAGAAGTCATTTTCCACTCTAAAAAGAGTAAAACATATTTCATGAAACTCAACATTAGATTCAAGACTCAATGGACTAGCTGCTTTAAATATTAATTATGACGTTAGTATAACATCTGAAGAAATTATAAATACGTATGTTAATTCGAACCGTCGTTTTGTTTTTTTATATTATGAATTATTTTACTTTTGTTTGTCATTACAAGAATATTAATATAAGCACATGGATTTTATCTTGCATTGATTCTAATACATAATTAAACATTGATT